CGTCATGATTAGATAACTTCGCGCAACGTTACTTGCGTATCCACTGCAGTTTTATACATAAGGCACAACGTTCAAGAGACTTTCTTATGAAAGATGGAAATTAATATGTTATAGTTTAAACCCTCTAATACTTCCATTAAGACTTGTGAGCAAATAAAAGTAGGTAGTTCTTCGTTGAGCGTTTGTAGAATTTCTGGATGAGTCAAGAGGGTTTTATTTAATTTTTTCCCTCGAATTATTTGCTGTAAAATTAGTTTTTCCAGGAAACATTGGTAATTTGAAAGGCTTTGATCGCACTAAATTTTTCAAATTAGTGCATTTTGTTGCTGCAGAAAGTAACTTACGACAGCTATATTGAATGAAGTACTAAAGATCTAACATGATCTATTAAATAGGAAGCACTTCGAGCTGCAGAGAACTAACTGTGGAATAAACATTGGAACAAACATGCAGGAGGGGTCAAATTTTTTTTACTTTTAAAAACCAACATTATCTACTATTCTTTACGAACGTATAGTTCAAAATCATATATCCAGAATTACCTGAGGTTCGTTCCATTTTCTTCTCTTCCAAAAGTATGAACGCAACTATCGGATTTTCGCATATCATCTAGCAACACTCGCCACTTTTCCTACTTACGCTATATCCACCTATTCATCTAAGGTTCAATAGCTAATGATGAAAAGAATTGATGTATTCTAGTAACCCTTTAAAGCTATATTCGTGTCATTCTTTAATTTCATTTTATTCTCATAGCTATTTTTCAATTAGTTGTTCAAATATTATTGCAGACTGCTCATGACTGCGAGGGGTACTATATCCGACACTACACGAACAATTCTCGAAGAGTTGTCAGACAACGCAAAAGAAAAAGTTCCCGCAGACGTCTATACTCAGTTGACGACTGGCTTTGTACCCGGTTTGAAAGTTCTACAGCTGATAACGTTCTTGTATTTCCCATAAATCCTAACATGTAATTTTAGCTGTTAAGGAAGTGTCAAGAGCAGGAAACGAGCTATTGAAAGCTTATCAAGGTGAGTGATTACTTACCTGCCGCAGCGTAATTTTGTTAAGAAGTCGCCTAGCTTTTCCAACGATGTTATTTCCAAAATCTTAGACTATACTATGGACTGAAGTATTTATTAGATAAGAAGCACTTCTATTTGCGAAGATATAACATATGGGTCTCCATCTGGTAATA